TCTGTAAGAAGAGTCCCTTTTTAGGTTTTCCCATACTTGTTTTTGCTCATTTCCTTTTACCTAACCAGATTGCATACACTCCCCGTTATTACCAGTTATTCTCTAACAGCTCGAGTTTTTTTGATATTGAACATTTTTCAGCATGAAGCATTATATTAATCCATGTAATGAAAATTTTGTTTCTTGAAAATGGGCTTATTTTATACCAAAAGAACAGATTTTCTGGAGACTTTTTATTAAAATTCAACACAAATGAGGGTCATTTCATTAGACTTCATAAGATAGGATCCTCTTGGAAAATCCTGAAAATGATTCCAACAAAAACCTACATCATATGTACATTTCAGCTACCATGGTATCTGGCTGCCATTGCATGCATTTGTCATGGTGAAATCTTTCCCTTCACTCTTTGCTTAAGGTTCTCTGGATGCCTTTCTAATTTATTGCAATAATGTTTTTTCACAAGAATAAATAAAGACTGGGAATATGATTCAATTATATTCATTGATTTAATGAAAGGTTGGTTATTTACACATTTGCTGATCGATGTGTGTGTGTTATTTTTTCAAAGCATTTACAATCTGCTTTATGAGATAGGTACATTTACAAATAGCTGCAGTCAACTGACTCCATCTTGTGTTCCTAAAGCTTAATATTTTTGCATCTTTCTCCAACCAGCATATTTTCCTCAAAGGCCAATATTTTCTTGCCAAATTTTCATGTTTGGCTCTACTAATTTCTATCTCAAAAGACATGTAAAATAAGATGTGTAGCCACTTTTTTCACACAAAGATGTTTTTAAATAGAAATTTATCTTTTCAAAGACTAAAGTGATTGCATGTATTCTTTTATCATTCCAGTGATTCATTTATTAGAAAATGATTCCTATTTATTGTCATTCCAAACTACATTTTGACTGTTAATGAAAAGACACAACACACTTGAGTCATACTCTGAAATACAAAATGTGCTTAATAAGATATCTGATGTCAATGAACAATGCTAAGTTCTTGTCTTCTGTAAAAAAAAAATGGTAGAATATCCTTCAATCACCTTTGATAAAATGTAGTATTTGTTCCAGTTTGAATTTTAATTTTTCATAAACAATTTTAATATTTATTTATTGCTCGTGATAATGCTGTAATAGTTTTAAATGTATTATAATTTATTGCATAATCACTGAAGCAAAGAGCAGTTATTCAAATAAAGTTAAATGTGTATTTAATTAAAAATGTTTTGTTTTTTTTGGTGTTCTTTCCAGATAAATTTGTGGTTTGTAAAGAACAGCTTAGATGGCTTTGACCGCCTCACCCAGCTTCACAATCTGCTTTTTGAAATGTTTGCTGACCATACTGGTCCAATCCCTCTACTAGATTACATGAACTTTGTAAGTTTAATGACCCAGCACATTACCAAATAGATTAAAGAAATTTCTTTCAGCACGGATCCCATTAACCTGGAGTACTGTCTTTTATCATTTATTTATTCTAAAGTGTAGATTCAATAACCAAAGTGAGTTTTGCATGTTAAAATTTAATGTTTAGATATTGAATAATGATAGTTACAACTTGTTTTTATTTTTAAAAATTTCTCCCCCCCCCCAGCTGATGTACTTCTCAGCATGTCCAAACGCTTATGAGGGATTCCTCCATGCCCTCAGTGTGGCCTGTGGTCATCATATACCCAGGCTGGGTGGACCTATGCAAGCCACCAATGTCTCACAAGTGGAGAGAGTTGCTAGTGGTGTAGACAGGTGAGAAGTTTTTGAATACGTTACATTTTGTTTGTTCTAGTGTCTTAGTTAAGAAAATCTGACAGTATATAATTTAAAATGAGTGAAACAGAGTAGGGTTAAACCTGAAAAAATAAACGCAACAAAACAATGAACGTGTCGGCAGAAAGCCTACGTCAGCGAACGAAACAACAGAAAAAAACTATATAAAATAATTATTATTGTAAATTATTTTTATACCGTTTCTCTGTTTCACTCATTTTATATTGTGCTAACCTGATTGCAGTCTCTCCCTCTTATTACCCAGTATATAATTTATACCGGTATTATAACTTCATATTGAAATATTTTTCCCCATTACCAGTTGATAGAGCTTATTGAAACATTTTTTTCATCAAAATAATATTTTTTGCTATCTGAGAAAATGATTTTCAGTTGTAGAGGCAGAATAAATAAAGATTTGTCAAATATTTATTTATTGAAATATTATTATTTTTCTTTATAACTTTGTCCTCACTAATCTTAGTGATTACAAAATCAAATTAAATTTATGTCTGCAGCTACCGTACAACATTATTTAAATTTTATATTATATTCAACAATGTATTATTCTACTTAGCTATTACTCATTTGGAATAGTAATACTAATAGTTTTATGATAATTATGGACTAAAAACTGGATTTAGAAAAGTTGATAACTCCAAACTACTGCATAAACAAACATATCTGTTATAGGTAGACAAAAATGTCTCAGTCATGTTATTTTGGGGTGTTTTATTGCGTTACTAAAATCTATTTCTCTTGGGATTGTTGTTTTACTGAAATACCTTCCCCCAAATCTTTCCATAGCTTGCTCGAGGTTGAGAACAAAGAAGAAGACAAACCAAAAGGTGAGCCGCCGATGTCAGATGAAAATATTCCTGATGATGCAATTCATGCCCTTGTGTCTGTGGAGGCATTGCATATGGTATGTATGAAATTGTTTTCATCAGTGTGCATCGTGGTCAGGGGGTCAAATATTTTGTTTACCTGGTAACTTTTTGTTAGTTATTTCACCTAATTATTTCAAAGTTCTGCATTTCCAGTCTTGATTAATTTTGCAATGTTAGATTGCATGCATCCATATTTTAATATAACTATTTTAGTGAACCCTTAAGTATTTTTTTGAATGAATAAGTTCAATAGAAAATGCTTCCAAGAAAGTTAGGAAATGTAAATCTTTTCAAAATATTATTAAATTAACTTCCAAATTGCTTATCTTCTTACTTATGTCTCTCTTTTAATAGGTACTGCACCATGGGGAGACAACTAAAGAAGACAGTCATAGATTTACAGCATCAGCTGACCCTGAAGACCACACATCTCTTGTAAGTGAAGATAATATTTTTAACTTATCTTTTTATAATTATCTACTTGTGTGTTTTCTCAAGTTTCACCCATCCTTTTAATTTTTAACAAACTTCATCATTTACTAGAAATGTAAAATTTGGCAAGCAAATGCATCAGATTCAGAATTTACACTTCAGTTTGGTTGATGAAGAGTTACTAAATTGCTTAAAAATTGTTGACGTAATTAATGGACTGATAAACAATGCTGCTGGCTGCCATCCATGGCTTGACATGTAAAATAAAAGTTCTGGGGTGGGTGGGGTGAATATACATTTGTTTTTGTTTTGTTTTTATACAGCTGTTATTGTTATAACATAAATGTATTTTATTTTAATTTCACGATTATTTCTCTTTAGCTTATATTTTTATGTACAGCACGGTGAGCCCAGTCGTAGGCTGGGGTACAGGGCTATCTAAGACTACTACTAATAATAATAATTACAAAACATGTGCACTTGTTTTTTTACATTTCTAGGTCAAAAGCTGTACTATTTAAATCTAGCATGCCAGTATCAATTTATTACATCGTATAATTTTATAACTCCCTCTTCAATACCCATTCTTAAAAATAAATGGTGATCCCTTAATAAATGTTGTATTAATGAATGGTACTTCTTAACCTCATCACTGATATTTCAAATTTTTTTTTAGTTTTCAAATGTTTAAAAAAAAATCATTATCCTTTAACATTAAAAAGCCAAAATATAATTCATAATTCTTTTAATTTGGAACCTCTAGATTTCTTTTTATATTATTATAAGAATCTCCCATTTAATCTTCAGGAGAAACTGAGTTCAGTTTTTCAGGAGCTAAATGAGAATGAGACAGCTGGTCCAGTTCTTTACAGAATTCTCATTGAGCACCCCCTGATACAAGATGTCATTGCAGCATGCCAACAATTCAAGAGTTTAGTAAGTAGGAATTATAGTATTTACCAGCTAGTAATAATGGTAATGTGAATGGTTATGTAGATAATGTTCACCAAGATACCTTGCCTAGTACAAATTGTGATATCCTTTGCTGAACTCATTTACTATTTACTCATGTTGAAAATGATTTGATTAGGCTCCAAAATATTGTTTTCCCTCTAAAAGGTTAAACATGAAAACTTCCCTCTAATACTCTAATTTAATTTAATTATCAGTATTAGTGGATCTAAAATAAACTTTGGTTTCAATGTATGATTTTCCACCCAAGTAAGCTTATCTTACTTTGTCCAAGTAATGTTTTCTACTCCAATTATAATGAGCCAGACATTTCATTCTAAGCATTGAAATCATTCATTTACATTTAATCAATGTTTCCTACCTTTCAGGATGTAAAATCGTTAATAGCTACAGCAGCCCCTGATCCTGTGGATACAGTTCTTAAAATAGTTGATTAATTACCGCTTGGATGACCTCGTGTATTTGGTGTGGTGACAACTTGTAAACTATCAAGACTGCACCCATAAAAACATTTGATGAACCGGTACATGAAAATACTTCCTGTGCAAGTCCATCCAAAAATGCGACACACCTAATGTGGTAAAACCTGATGCAAAAACAAGCTTGTTCTCCATTTGTAATTTGGAATATATATTCTGTCTTAATCAATGCTGAGATTTTATTGAGAATTTTGTTAATGCAGCGTTAGTTAATTTTTATCATATTTTGTTTTGATTAAAATAAATGTGCATGCCAGTCAATTACTTTTTGGTCTCCTATAGCAGTACAATAATATCAGATTTCAATCTGATTTTGATTGACAAAAAAAAATATATATACTTTTTATATTTAATATTTTAATTTGTTTGACACAACTGAACACTTCTAACCATAGAATATGCAAGATTTGAAATAAAACTAAAATATTTTATGGTTTTCAACAATTCTAATTTGGACTGCAAAAATTTATAAGAATGGAAGTGAACAGAAATGAAGTGGGGAAAAGAACTAACAACAAAAATATGAAACCAATGAACATTTATTATTAAAAATTGAAGAGGTACAACAAAGTTTAATATACGGTAATACGAATGCAGCCTTTAACTCTGCATCAGACATTGTGTCCCACCTTCTTGTAATTTAGAAAATATGAGCTATGTACAGAGGGTCATAATGCCTGAGGCAGTACTAAAGGAGATGAGCACAGGTTCGAGTACTTTAAATTCATCACTCATCTCAACATCCTACAAAAGTGGATGAAAAGTAAACAACATTTGCTCCCCGCTTGTTAAGATATGTCATTCAATCAAATTCCAATAACAAATTTCTAGTCTCTGAAGTTAAATTTATATTGTCAGCATTTGCATGCAAACCATCACAGGACAAAGAAACCCATAAGATAGAGTGTTAAAAACTTTATATCCCCAATTCATCAAGTACTGCAACAGCATGTACAAATACTGAACAGTTATAATGGTACAAATGTTTTTGAATTTAACTAATTCAACCATACTAATTATTTTAATCAACAGCTGGTGTATTTTGATCATTTGACCCCCAAAAAAAGTAATGATACAAAAATATTTATTTTAAATAACTTATGAATTCTACACAAGAAAACTGATGTTAAAAAAAAAAGATTCTTTCGATAAACTAAAGATAAATCGAGTTAAGAATCCAATAGAGGTCAATTTAGTATTAAATGTTCCCTTACACTTTGGTGCATTTGTTACAGGAATGTTAAAATAAAACTGACTCAGGGTACTTCTGCTTGTGATCCAAATCTAAGTTAAAAAAACTGGTAAATGAATTCTGAAATGGTTGAATGGATGAACACAAGAACCTAGGTTAAAAATATTTATCAATACACACCATTCAGAGATTCTTTTACAATTCATTACAAACCGGTATTTAGAGTAACTTTCTTAGACATACACTACAAAATAACTCTTCATCTATCAGTTATATTTAACTTACTGGTGCAATCTATATGCTCTTTACAAAAGTGGATGGTATAAATTACATGTAAATTATCAAACCTTAGCAATATTAAATATTTTACACTGGTAGGATTTATTAATATAATTTCAAAGGCAAATTGTTAACCAAATCTGACATGAATAAAATGCGGTGACACAAAACTAAAAAACTTTTTTTCATATCAATGCTCCATTTTCTCTGCTTCTATGGAGCCCGGGGTAGAAGTGGTAGATGGTGCAGGCTTGGGGTCGATCTCTTTGGCATCTTTGTCTTTTGCATTCTCATGAGATGCATCCCCACCTTTATTTGCTGTGGGTGAGGTTTCACCTGTGGAACAGTGAGGCTTAAGTAAAGGAGATGGACAGACTGCCAACAGATCTCTAATATTGGGATGAAGAATCCCAAGTGTGTGGTCTAGAAATCCAGGAAAATTTCTAACATTATTTATGGCTAAGTTGTACTCTCTGCCTGGATTTCCACATAACATCTGATATATTTAGGCTTAATTGCAAGCAAAGTTGTAAGAGACAAAATAAATAAAGAAGGGAATTTAACTGGGTGAAAATAAGAAGAAAACAAAAGAGCCACAGTAAGCTTATTGAGAATGAAAATAATACCTTTTTTCTCAGCTAAGCCAGCTGCCTTTTCCTCCCTATTTAAAATAAAATTCAAGAATTAATACATATATAAAACAAATTTAATTTCCAGACATTTTAAATCATGTTTTACCATCATAGTCCACATCAGATCACATATAAGACCATATAAGAAGCTTACTTTTCAGCACTTTTTGGTTCCTCTTTGACATCTGGCAGTTCTTTCTTGACCTCTTTCTCATCTTTTTTGGCATCTATGGTATTTTAAAAATATTCACAACCTTAAAAGCAGTTAAAAAATTGGAGCAAGATACTATGCCCCGTAACTCCACTGAATAACAATGAACACATGTTTCCAAAATGTCTTCTAACATACAATTTATCTTAAATTTGTAACCGGTAGTAATAAATGTCTTGCAGTATGCAAATGTTTTCATTTGATAACTTTACTAAGAAAATGATTATTATAAGAACCTTTATCTCCATCTTTCTTATCCTCTCCTTCTGTTTTTTGTCTCTTCTTTTTGTGGTCCCTTCTGTCTTTTCTTCCACCATCCTCATCTTCACTGTCCGAGAATTCCTCTTCACAGGCAATCCTCTTGTCTGCCTGACGGACTGAAAAAAAAAAAGAAAAGGAAAAACATATTTAAGGCTCCTTGCTTAAACTAGATGAAGGGGATAGTGAAGTAGGTAACGGGTAATCAAATGCAAAAAAAATATTAAAAGATCAATGTTTTTATTTTTTTTAAAGTTATTTATATTTGCCAATAGTGTAGGAATTTACTTGAAATTCTCTGATCCGGATTGGCTTTGTCTTCATCGTCACTCTCATCATTCAAAGCATCTTCTGGAATGGCTGCAACATTGATAACAAAAAAAAACCCCATCACTTTTGATCACAACCATTCAAAAACAAAAGTGTGAAGCATTAGAAAGTTGAAATGACAGTCTTACTGGGATGATAATGCAAATAAAGTAAAAAAGTCAAAACAGAATCTACAAATTCCTTTCCAACTGAAGTAGTGTGACCTCATTTACAATGTTTCAACAAAAAACTATGTGGCTTTAAAAATAACTTCAATACTTCATGACAAGCATTGTAAATTAATAGAGAACAACCAGACATTGTCTTCGACATTTCTTTTATCAATGTCATGCCCCTAAAGAGACTCCAACTCCAGGTTTGATTCCAGAGTTTGCCTTCTCTTATATGAGATGCCATCCAAGGTTAACGAGTCCCATCCCCCTGGCCGTGCTGGTGATGTTTTTGCTTGTCTCTGCATTTTCTGGGGATCGAACTCCAGTCCACTGGCTTAGGATCGACTTAGTTTTGACCACTTGTATAGAGTGTTAATGTGTGGACATAAAAATATATAAAATAAATTCTCACCCTGCATTTGTACACCAGGGGCATGAGGCAGCATCCTTAGATTTTCAAATAACCTTGTCCTTGACAGAGAAAGATAATGAATTAAGGGGGCAGGCTACCAAAAAAAATTTTTTTTTAATTAACCAACTTAGAGCAATTATTTTATTATGGTCATGTTAAGCTATGAATGGCGATATATTTTCATGCTTTAAAATAAAAAAAAATTATATAGTTGCCATGGCAACGGCGGCCATCTTGAAAATAATACCCATTCGTAGAATTCTAAAATTTTAAAAACAAACATACATATTGCTTAAAAATTGATTGATTCATGAACTTCAATTATATTTAGAGGTACTGAGCTAGTTTAATTTCCTTAAAACTTTTCAAAACATTTTTTTTTTAATTTTTAAAATTTGCCTCGGCAGAAAACGCTTAAAATTTACCATCCTAGGATATGAAAAAAATTATTTTAACAAAAGTAATTGACCAAATTGATTTTTGAATAGCTCATTACCCACAAAATAGTTAAAGGAAGATACACACCAAATTTTATTACTCTAGCTTGTATATTAGCTGAGATTTTAGAATTCTACGTTACAAAACAACAGAAAAAAACAATTTTGAGAAAAATCAATTTTAAACTTTAAAAGTGAAAAATTTTAAGTTTAATATGAAAATGAAGTTCTTTTACATAGTTTTTTTTGTTCAGCAACATGGACATGGTGGTTTCTTATATTATTGAACTGTTGAATGCACCAGGAACATGGGTTTTAACTTCTTGAACTTCATCAGGTGCTCTCGTCAAAATCACAATTTTAAACAAGAATGCACCAGGAACATGGGTTTTAACTTCTTGAACTTCATCAGGTGCTCTCGTCAAAATCACAATTTTAAACAAAAAATTTTTTTCCTCTGGAATAAAGCTAATTTGTGTTGTATTAGAATTTTTTGTTCAGCATTATAATATAACACAAGTTATCCAAAGTCCCCAATCAACCCTTTTGTCCATGATCCTTTTAACCATGCTTAGATGACAAGGTTATGTTGCTGTCACCATCACTGAAATTAAAGCATAGTTTCATGGCAGCAATGCTATGTTGAAACTTTTGTACCTATTCTGTGTACTTCTTTCATCAAAGATGTCCCTCATACCAGAGGTGAATGAGTTATTTGTCTATTAGAAATGTAATAATTGGGAAGATACTTGCTCATAAATGTTTCATGTCTTCGGCATAGCGCAGTTTTTAAACTTTGCGCAGGTTATAAATTTTGCGGTGCAGCTGGATTGTTTATCGCAGATATCATAGATTGCAACTTTTCATAGTCCATGCCATTGTCCTTCAGGCCTTAGAGTCTATAATTGATAATGACTTGATTATCCAGTTGTTGATATGAACAATCTAACCACTCACAATCTAGTCATTGTTATGTTCATAGTATTTACTATTTTGTTTTGCAATCAGCTGTAAGTTATGGCTTCTGCAATTCGTCCATTCCACTGCAGACAGAAGAAAATTGGTAAAAGCTTTGAATTATGATCATTTCAAATCAATGTTTCGCAGTCCCTCTGTAGAATTCTTGTCACTGAAGAATTAACTTTTGCTCGGCTCGGTAGAACTAATTGGGGGCTGGAATGGAATTAAAAAATTATATAAACATTATTTAGCAAATAATATATTGAAAATGATCTCAATAAGCCTATTAATATTGTAACGGACAATGTTTTCACATGAAAACAGAGAGGTAGCATGAGTGAACAATGAATGGTGTTGACCATGTTTTTGTCCACGAGGACAATGAATTGTATTTTGAGATACCAATGTGAGCTCCACGTTTTTGGAGAGTAAAATTATGTTTTTGTCAGAGCGGTTGTTTTGCACGCTTTGCTGGTAATAAAGTATGAGTTGACTGATATAGTAGAGAGCTGAGCGCAGAGCAGTAGAGTCAGTAGCGTGAGAGCTGTGTGATTAGACAGTTGACAGTTTAGTGTGAGGACGTGTCTTTATTAAAATGTGAAATTACATTCATGCAAGGATTATTTATTAATATTATCAATATAAAGTGTGTTCAATAAAGTACTGTAAGTTTAACCAGGATTCAGTATTCTTATTTGCGTGCCCGGATTATAAGTGGAAGATTGAAGAAGCCTTAGTCGGCATCCTGAAATATCAACATAACATAAGTAACCATACTACTGACATAACCCACAGCATAAGAAATAAGCTCCCACGCCATGTCAGAGTAGGTGTGTTACAAATGGTGTCAGAAGCGGTGTAACGACGATGCGTTACAAATATTGTAAAGAAGTGTCAGAAATGCGGAACAGAACATTGAGTAACAACGATATATAATTTAAAATTCGAGCGGAAGAATACAGCGAACGCCATTATGACCGTATATCAATCAAGTCCGAGACAAGTTCACTACACACAGAGTTAGCCGACAATTGAGGTCAGTCACGGGAGTTCAGAGTTCAGTCAACTGGTACACGGCAACTATTTAACCTACTTAGCGGAGTGAACACACCCAGTTGGAGAAACACAGCAGCAAGAAATCTATTTTAGAATAACTACAAAGAGGTAAATAATAATAGACTGAACAATCCGCACAAAGGAAAATTTTCAAGTTATTTACAACTGTAGCAAAGATTTACTGTAAGCCTACATATTACAAGACCAACAGAAGTAGAAGTCTGACGTTATTACAGATGAGATGTGTGTATCAAGACATCGAAAGTAAGATTTCCCCAGCATAATCTTCACTTTATACAAGCCGCACAAAGCCTAGTGCGCATTTCAAGTAAAGTAATTCTTTAATTACTCGCAAGATCAACTGAGTCGGAGAGAAAGTACACTATTTTCAATTGGATTATTACACTATTACTTCTATTACGCAAGGTACTTGCATTGGATTACTGAAGCAGTTTGTGTTGTAACTTTTTCATTGGATTATATAACTTTTGCATTGGAGTATTTACCCAAGTACACTATCTACATAGAAGGATTATCGACTACACAGAGATCATAGCGTCACAGAGGAGCAAGTATAATATAAGTTTAATTTTAGAGTATACTGTAGGGACATCCACGGTGTTATCTTTCCTAGGGAAGTTTTTTTATTAAAACGGTAAAGGTTTCTTCTGGCCCTATTTATAACACTGTAGGATAATTCTGTGTTAGCGGTGAAGTCTAGTTTGTACATTGTTATAACTGTTGTTTTTTAGTATATCTTGTCAGATTTGTTATATTTGTCTTGTCATTGTTATACATATTGTCAACCTACTGTCATATTTTCTACTATCTTGTGGTCCATAAACTAAACAGTACTTTTGTATTTGTTGTCTCATTCGTATTCATGTAAACGTCTACATATCTGTATTTATGTTGTGAAGTAGACAATTTAATTACTTTAAATTTTTCTTACACTTATTTATAACTTATAATTCATGTTTCAACTTGCATTTGTGTATACATTCATTAACATGTAGATATATGAAAGATCGAAAACTATTTTAATTGATAACCAAAGAATAAGGAGATAACTGATATACTGATACATACCAATATAATTTTATTTACTCACATTATAACTAAAAATGGCAGAGTACTTAGAACTATTAGAAGTAGGTGAGAAGCTTGGCTTGAAGCAGGAGAAATTAGCTGACTTCGTAACTCGTGAGATGGACAAAATTAGGGACAAACAGAAAGAAGACAAAGACCGACAAGACAAAGACAAAGACCGACAAGATAAAGACAAAGACCGAGAAGCTAGACTGTTAGAGAGAAGCGACCTTAAACAAATAGAAGAACTAAAATTAAAAGGACAAAAGGAAATAGAAGAACTTAAATTAAGAGAACAGGATATGAAATTAAGAGAGGAAGAAATAAAACTAGAAAGAGCTAGAATAGAATCAGGACAGCATACACCATCAACAAGCAATAGAGAAACCAATAGCACATACAAACCTAAATTTAGAGAATTTAATGAACATAAAGAGGAAATTATTAGTTATCTATCACAATTTGAGGGCATCTGTCAGTCTTACAACTATAGAGAAGAGACTTGGGCTAATATTTTATTGAGCAGATTATCAGGGAAAAGCCTAAGTATTATTAATTCACTCAGTGAAGAACAAAAGAATAATTATAACTATATAAAGAAAGTTTTGTTAAAGTTCTATGGAAACACAGAAGACATTTATAGAAAAAATTTCCACAACATAAGACTAGAGAGAGAAGTAGATCCTAACACCACCATATTCAATATTAGAGACAATCTTGTCAAATGGCTTGAATTAACTGAAATTGACCTAAATGATCCAAAAGCATTACTGGATATGTTTATCATAGACAAAATATTAAGAAATGCATCAGTCTCTTTATTTTCATTCCTTAAAGAGAGAAAGATTAAAAATGAGCGTGAGTTAGTTGACTCAATCACAACATTTAAAGATGCTCACCCCAATGAAGAGCTAGACAATAGAAACAGCACACTAGCCTCTATTAGAAACACACCCAGTGATAGGGACAGTCAAAAACAAAACACATATCAAAACAGAAGATACCACAGCCTACCTGCCAGATGGCAAAACAATAAATTTCAGAAAAGTCATCAAAACAATTACCAGACACCATATACTAATTATTCAAACAACAACAAATGTTTCTACTGTGGCATTCCAGGTCACAAAAAATATGAGTGTAGGAAATTACATAGAGATTTAGGACATTCACAACAATACTATCAGAGAACATCACCCAACAGTAGTCCAATTAGATACAACAGTGCAAATAGGAGTAGACAACCATATAAAAATCAAAGATATAATTCCAATCAGACTAACAGTAGACAAAACACCAAACCACATGAAACTTTAGCTAGCGCATGTCACAGTGAAGGAAGTTTACAATTTTTTCCTTCTTATGTAAACAACCAACTTGTTCAGTGTCTAAGAGACACAGGTTGTACAACAATAGTAGTTGACAAAAAATTGATTGATCCTAAAGACCATATATCTGAAAAAACCACAGTCATGTTAGCAAATAACACAAAAGTTGAATGTTATAAAGCAGTAGTGGACATAGACTGTCCATGGATCACAGGATCTGTAACAGCAGTTGTGATGGATAATCCAGTGTGTCCATTAATTATTGGCAATATAAAAGAACTAAGCAATAACACTAAGTATCTAATAACAGAAGGGATAAGAGGAAGACATTTAAACATGAATCCAACACATAGCATAACAAGACAACATAACAAAGGAATTCTTAATAAAACATATACAGAACAAAAATCAGACAGGGCAAAACACATTTTTAGACTAAATTCAAGAAACATTCATCAACAATATAGACAGGCTGAAAAATTCAATAATGAAATCAAAGACAGAGAAAACAAGTTTCAAGAAGAACATTACACAACTACAAATAACAATTTTATGGAAAGAGATAGACAAAGAGATAACAGATCACAATTGTCATTTTCTTCAGTGCGGAGAAATACTTAACATTCCATGTTAGCTAACCTAGCATAAAACTCTCTAATAAATCAATTATTAGCTGTTAAGAACAAAATTTTTTTCAAATATGGTAATTGTCAATACAGAACTATTGTATAAATTGTTTACATTCTTGGTCATCAACTTTTTCTTAAGATTAGACAATGACAATAACATTAAGGTTAAATTGAGCATGAAGATCATTAAAATACACATTCAACCATTTTTTTGATAAGACACTTGTACATATCAATTTTGTAAATGAATATCAGATTTTAACCAATTGTAAATCTTCTAATGCAAAATTTAAGGTTGTTACATTCATTTTGCAGTGTTTATTATTCATTAAGATGTTAATGTCACTTCACATTATCATACATAAAGATTTTAAGAGGTTGTCATTGGTGATTTTGTAATTTTTTGCCAGGGTAAATTATTCACTAGTAAAAGGCCCTGTATTTCATAATGATGAAATGTTAATGTTGTTACACTGATTTGATTGTTAGATGTGGCATTGAAATTTTCTAAGAGACATTATCATTATTTCAACATATAATGCCAAAAATTTTGTTGCACAAAATTTTTTCAGATGGGTGGGGCATGTAACGGACTATGTTTTCACATGAAAACAGAGAGGTAGCATGAGTGAACAGTGAATTGTGTTGACCATGTATTTTGAGATGCAAATGTGAACTCCACGTTTTTGGAGAGTAAAATTATGTTTTTGTCAGAGCGGTTGTTTTGCACGCTTTGCTGGTAATAAAGTATGAGTTGACTGAGATAGTAGAGAGCTGAGCGCAGAGCAGTAGAGTCAGTAGCGTGAGAGCTGTGTGATTAGACAGTTGACAGTTTAGTGTGAGGACGTGTCTTTCTTAATGATGGAATACTATAGATATATATGTGAAATTACATTCATGCAAGGATTATTTATTAATATTATCAATATAAAGTGTGTTCAATAAAGTACTGTAAGTTTAACCAGGATTCAGTATTCTTATTTGCGTGCCCGGATTATAAGTGGAAGATTGAAGAAGCCTTAGTCGGCATCCTGAAATATCAACATAACATAAGTAACCATACTACTGACATAACCCACAGCATAAGAAATAAGCTCCCACGCCATGTCAGAGTAGGTGTGTTACAATATTAGTATTATTTAGATGTTTAGGATTGCTAAACTAAATACTTATTTTATTATAATTACTATTATTAGTTAATTGAACTGATCTTATTCTTATAAATAAGAAATTAAAACTAATTAGCTATTACTATTAATAATTGTATTGTATGCAGATAAAAAAAATGAATAAGGCTAAGATTAAACTATTTGAGTTAAAAGATTCTAATACGAATTATTTTCCTCATACTGCTAATGCTAATACCATGCCATAATTATAGTAGTATTACGGCATATTGCGTTGTTGTTTTAGTCCTAGCCTTAGTCTTAGCCTATCATGGCCTATGCCTATGGTATTTACTTTGAACTTCTTGATTATTTATCAATGTTGTTTTGTTAGACAACTATAAATAAATAGGCTTAGGATTCATATAATTTAACAATTCACTTGATTGGTAAATATAAAGACTAATAGTAGAAACTTATGCAATTCTCCGCATAAGGCATAAGCTAAACATAAACTCACAAACAATCCACACGCACGATCAATCATCAAGTTCAAGGCAACACAGTGACAGTACTGACGTCCGAACTGAATAATTTCAACTATCACCGATTGCATGTTGCTAAATTAAGGTCATTTTTTTAGTATACTTACCTTGAATTTCTGGCTTTTACCGAATGGGTAAGGTTGTAAACGTGTATTTTAAAATCAAAATATGCTGATGCTTTCGTTTGCAAAATGTCGTTCTGTACACAGAACCATGATCCGGTAAACACGCATAAACAACGCATTTGCGCATGCGCGAGTCAACGGTATCTTGGTTACCCTCGGTTCGGACCAATGAAAATCGGTAAAATAATTATATAAATAGAAGTGAAGAAAATCCTACACACACTTCGCTTGTGGATCCGATTATTTGTAGCAATTATATTTACTGACTTCGATTCTAAAAATAAAAAAAACTGCTTGAATTTACCTTTACGTTGATATATAATAATAGCATATTATGTTATTTAAAACTAGTTTTTTGAGGTCTCAAACATGGGATATGTATGAATTTTATTTTATTTCCAAAATTAGGTCAATTTTTAAGGTGGGGAGGGGTGTTAAATATCAGTTGTTTCACAACAAATCTTTTAAAAAGTAGTATCAATTGATATGTAATCGATTCTAAGAATGTTTATCTACTTAAAAATGAAAAAATAAAAAAATGGACAATTTTTGAAAATTTTAGATATTTTCGGGTGCCTAACCCCTTAAAAAGATATGAGTTCCAACAAAGGCAAAGACCTTAAATTCTTCTTGTTAAATTAAAACTGAAAACTTGATTTTTGGACTAAATACAGACATCATATTGTGGAAATTTAGGCAGCTTTAGAAATAAGACACTTAAATAACTATAGAGCGACTAACTTGATTTTGTCCATGTATTCAGGTGTATTCTGGTTGGCCATGTTGGATGGACTGATATGGAGTTTAAAGTCTGGTCCATAGTATTCAAAGTAGTCATTGTAAGGCAGTTCTAAAAATATATGTCAAATTCTTATCAGTAAATGGGTCACGCAATACAAGGCTAAATTATTTTAATATTACAATTATAAATCAGTAATAACGCCGTTTTAAAATAATATCTACATTTTTTCCTCCAAAACAAATGAAATTATAACATTGATGACCTAGTAGTAAATGACTTATTACTTTCAAATTAACAGGTCAAAATGCCACCATATAAAATGTCATGTTTCTTATATAACAACACAAAGCATGGCCGCTGAGGTCAGACACAAATAACTGAGGGTTTCAGCGTCTCGGTAACAACAACAGAATCCACAATATATCTCATAGTTGATTACCATTTGCCACATCAGAATTTAGGGCTATGGAGGTCTCATATGTCCAGCAACGAGCAACATTACGAATGGTATAGCCTCCCCCACCAAGCAACAATACAGGCAAGTTCCATTTCTTGATGAATTCAACACACTTTCCATGACCTTTGTTGAAAAAAAAAATTATGTTAGTTTACCAGTAACATTTTAGTGGGATTGTTTTCTGTACTGCTTTTTTTTTTATTACTTAAACATGTTTCTCATTTATATTCATTCCATTGCCTTCAAGCATTAACCGTAATTCTTGTCTAGAAGAAGTCAGAGTTTTTCATTTTATCCATTATTACACTTTGCTCTACATGATTCTACTGAAGTATAAAATCTAACAACCATGTCAGGGCAGCTTACCTTTCAGTGTAAGATTAAAACAACCCAAGCGATCACCAGATAGTGAATCAGCTCCACACTGTAAAACAATGGCACTAGGTTGATACATCTCCATTACTCTTGTTATAACCTGAAAAGAAAAACCAAGATTATTACAATTATCATAGCCGGTTCCTATTAGCTCAAAGAAATAATTAATTGGGTAGCACAATATGGGCAGTTGTGAAAGTAACATTGTAAATATTAACTGTATGCATGCATGTATAATATCAAATATTAACTACAAGTAAAATGTATGAGGAATGTTGGTGACAGCACTTAATGAATCTAATTTCAACATTTCACTGAAACATATTTTCATTTTTGAAGATACCGGTAACAAAACAAAGGTTAGACATTTTATTCATAGTTGTACCTTTTAAACCGTAAAATCTTTGAGGAGAATAATGCTTTCATATTGTAAGTAATAAAGAATTAACTCACTGGTTTAAATATACTCTCATACGACTCATCATCAATACCATCTCTGAGGGGGAAGTTTACAGCATAATATTTGCCCTTGCCAGCACCTATATCCTAAAGGAAAGAAAATAGTACAATAATTATAAAAGACCTAACAATTTGTAAATGTTAACAAAGTGTATATTTTTTTTATCATTGCAAAAGTGAAGTAGGTACTAATGAAATTTTGCCTAAAATTATTATTTAAAATAAGAATTCAATGAACATACTCTCAAGTCCCCTGTGCCAGGAAAGTATTCCCCATACTTGTGAAAAGAAACAGTCATCACACGATCTGTCGTGTAAAAAGCTTCCTCAACACCATCACCATGGTGAATATCAATGTCAACATATAGAACACGCTGATGATACCTAGGATGACACCAATGAATTAGACTTTTTAAGGGGGCAGGCTACCAAAAATTTTTTTTTTTAATCAACCAACTTAGAGCAACTATTTTATTATCGTCATGTTTAGCTATGAATGGAGATATATTTTCATGCTTTAAAAGAAGAAAAAAATTACACAGTTGCCATGGCAACGGCGGCCATCTTGAAAATAACACCTATTTGTAGAGTTCTAAAATTTTAAAAACAAAAATACATATTGCTTAAAAAATGATTGATTCATGAATTTAAATTATATTTAGAGGTACTGAGCTAGTTAAATCGGCCATCTTGAAAATAACACCTATTTGTAGAGTTCTAAAATTTTAAAAACAAACATACATATTGCTTAAAAAATGATTGATTCATGAATTTAAATTATATTTAGAGGTACTGAGCTAGTTAAATTTCCTTTAAACTATTTGAAACATTTTTTTTTTAATTTTTAAAATTTGCCTCGTCAGAAAACGCTTAAAATTTAGCATCCTGGGAATTTAAAAAAAATATTTTTAAAAAAGTAATTGACCAAATTAACTTTTGAATAGCTCATTACCCACAAAATAGTTAAAGGAAGGTACACACCAAATTTTATAACTCTAGCTTGTCTATTAGCTGAGATTTTAGAACTCTACGTTTCAAAACAACAAAAAAAAACAATTTTGAGAAAAATCAATTTTAAACTTTCAAAGTGCAAAAAAAAGTGTTTATTACAGAAATATGGTGATGTTACATATTTTTTTTTGTAGATCATCATGGACAACATCATTTTTAACTGCAATCAGTTGTTAAAAGCATTGTTTTTTGCATAGGTGTTTGTTATTTTTTCAATAACTGGCTTTGTTAATTTTCGATTTAAAGTTTGTTTGTTTGATTTTTTTTAATTTTCCAAAGCATTAAACATTCTTTTTGCAATGTGATTAATGCAGTCCTCTTTTGACACTTCAATTTCATAGCATTTCTGCACTTCATTGAATGCTTTTGCATCTCCGTCACAAAGCATTGTGCCATAAATTAATTTTCTCTTCTCAATTGATCTTGAAAAGATCATCCTGGCTGCCACAGTCTCCATTGCATTGGACGAGCAATCTTGATTCTTCTGACATTTTGCTTTGTGAGCTTCCATCCAGGTTAGATATTCAAGTGAACCTGGCTTTGGCCCAACTGCGCACATTTTGCAATAATTGCTTATTACCTGCGTGTCTAAAACTAGGCCACTGTCGACGTCGATCGCAAGGCCCACCCCGTTGTGCGATGAATGGCCTGGCTTTTGCCAAGTGCCATCATATGACACAGTGATGATGGGGCAACCTGTTTTACTTTTGGCTTGGTCTGGCTGAGGGTCTGCTGCTTTAGCTCTTTTGCAAACAACACGAGCAGCATGGCACATTGCGTCTTCTGCTGCTTCTTTTGCTGCTGTGCTGACAGTTTTGGACAACCTATAATAGGTTTTGTGGTGCATCTGTGATTGCATATTCATGACTGAAAGCAACGAATGCAACTTGGCGTACCCAATACCATTGTCTTTGCAACCGATGATTGTTCGGTAATTAATGTCGAACTGCTTATTTACTTGTGGAGATGTCCAATCTGACTACTCCGACATACAGTCTGGACAGTAAATTTGTACATGGGCAGCCATACCATTTGTTTTTTTTGTAAATAGCTGTAGACTGTTGCCTCTACAATTTGCACATCCCACTGCTGATATGAGAGCCTGGAGGAAGCTCTGATGTACAATTGTGTAGGAATTGTTATCACTATTCCTTCTGTTGCATTATTGTAAACAGTAAACTTCTGCTCCGCTCTACTGCTGTTTAGGGGATCAGTATTTTCTGTCATGACTGCAGGCACTGGAGGCTCATTCAAGTCAGCAACCGTAGATGAACTGGAAAAAATAAAGTAACATAAACATCAATTAACAATTATTTTTATTTATTAATCTGAAGTAGTTTGCATTAGGTTTATGGTCTTAAAAACTATTTAAAAAAATTTGTAGTTGTATGTCCAATTGAAATAAATAGCCATGAATTAATTTCCATCATCATTAAAATGAATTAATTAGCTGAGGTCTTCGTATGATTTTAAAATAATTTGTTTTGTAATGTATGCCCCCTGACAAAAACTTTTGTTAAACCATAATTATGCTATAAAGTTCCTCAATTGTCAATCATGTCCCAATGTAAACAACAAGAATTGCCAATGTCCTTGTTTGTATAGAATGAGTGCAGAGTAAAAGACACGGCGTCTACAGGGTGTCTTGGTATGGACAGGGTGTCTCGCTATGGACAGTGGAGCATCACTCTTGGCAGATGGTCACACTAAGCCTACTAATTTTAAAAAGATATTTCTACCACTAATACTAGTTTTAGTATGAACTACTATGGCGTGGCCATCGTGGTCTTAATTTCTAATCCCGATAAACTAAACAATTGACACAACATGAAGCATGGTCACACTAAGCCTACTAATTTTAAAAAAGAGACTTCTACCACTAATAATAGTTTTAGTACTTTTAGTATGAACTATGGCTTGGCCATCGTGGTCTTGATTTCTAATTTTACTACTAAGACTAGTACTAGTAGTAATATTTAATCTTACCTTGAATTCAAAGGTTCAGTTAGTTTCCGTGAGTGAATTCCTCTAGGTTTTGTATTTTTCTTGCATTTACCATATCGGTATCCCTATTTAGGCATCTTGGATGAGCGTATAATTTATTTCTAGAAAAAAATGTTGGAAAGCAGTGCTGTCGGAACAGAGTCAGGCTGAGAAATGAGCCGCTAGGAAGTAAAATTTGAAGGAAAATACTGGGATGCGCATGCGTGAATAAATAAGAGTCATGGTTACTAACATTTTACTCCAATGAAAAAATTGGAAAAATAGTCGACCAATGAAATAATGTTATTTTCGATACATTTGAGGGCTCGAATATTTATGGTCAATATACTTACCGCGCGTATTTTAGGATAGTAAAATAGCCTACGAAATTACCTTTCCGTTGATATATTATAATGGCATATTCTGATATTTTAAATTAGCCTTTTCTAGGCGTTAAAGAAGGGTACATTGATCAAAATTTCACCACCTTTTTAAAATTAGGTCAACTTTTTCAGTGAGGTAGGGAGTTCAAAATCAATTTTTTATTGTTATCCCGGTTTTAAAATAGTATCAATTTATATGTAGTCGATTCTATGAATGTTGAACTTTCAAAAAATGAAAAAAAAAAATTCTATAATTTTGGTAAAATTTAAGATTTTCTCGGGCGCCTACCCCTTTAATGCATTTACAATTTAACTTCATACTATAAATGCAATCCTTAGTTGCTGCATTCAAATATATAATGGGGAACGTTATTTGAGAACTGACCAGACTAATTTTGACAGCCAAGCAGTGGCCGAATGAGATCTTATTTAAATACAGTTATATTTTAAATAACGTATAATTATTTAAAATTTCATCTGTCTTGACTTACTTGAGCAACTCCAGTATGCCCAGGACAATATCATTGACATAGCAAAATCCTGAGGCCTCAGATTTCTTGGCATGATGAAGCCCACCTGCCCAGTTGATGGCTATGTCAGCAGCCTGCTTGTTTAACTTGACTGATCCAGCTGAAAAATTTAAAAATAACAATATAATGTACAATTACATGTGCATTAAGTTAATGAAATTTTTTACAGTCCAACAACTTTTAAATAAAAGGTATTTCATTTAGAGTACCGCCAACTGGACACAACTTTCTACTCAATTAAGTGTTGACGCAATCAGACCAGAATTATACATTTTACGTTCTTTTTTTAAAGTTTTACCCTTTGTAAAACAAAGACAATAAAATGAGAATTGAAGACATCACATTACATGTATTATTAATTATTGGTGTTTGATAAGGTTAAAAAATTGTACTTGCCTACAGACCCTCCAGTCGACAACTGACAGAATTCATACATCCCGTCAAATACAGGACAATCCTCTCCCACATTGACTGAAATAAAGAAGTCAGTGAAACTGCTGTTGACCTTTTCAAATAATTTATAAATTTTTATAGCATTATCTTACTGCACATATCAAAAACAAAGCTGCATACTGAAAATATAATTGGAGCCAAAGCATATAGGCCTACTTTAAAAATTGATTATTTATTTCCTGTACAAATTTATAACAGCAAGCAGATAGTAGATAAAACACATCACAGTACAAAGTAGTACAAGAAACCCATCAGCCAAAAACCCAATGTATAAAATACGATTTTCATGATGTAGGTGGGACAAGAAATTAATATAACTTACATCTTTGCATTTGTTTGTTGTATTCAGCCATGTTGTCAGGTCGTATACTTCTCAAGAACTTTATATAATCATCACTGTGGAACTTTGTCATTTCTTCAGCTGTTGCTTTATGAGGTCTCTTTAGGATAAATCAAGACAGCAATGAGAATAAGTCAATAAAACTGGAGCTATCACAATTATCCTATAAAATAGAATCATTTGAAAAAGAAGAGGACAATGAAAAGCCATTTATAATACTACAGCATTAATGAAAGGAAACTTACATAAATCTCCATTTTGCGATACAGGCCATAATTAAGAATAAGATTATGTGTCATCCTTATACGGTGTGGTTTCATCGGATGTCCCTGTCCATAATAATAGTTTCCAATGTCACCTGAGGAACATAATGAATTTATACAACTTAAAATGGAAATAAAATGACATGACATCTAAAAAAATTCTGAAAAAAAAAAAAAAAAAACAGTTAAATGAAATAATTAAGAATAAGATTATGTGTCATCCTTATACGGTGTGGTTTCATCGGATGTCCCTGTCCATAATAAAAGTTTCCAATGTCACCTGAGGAACAAAATGAATTTATACAACTTAAAATGGAAATAAAATGACATGACATCTAAAAAAATTCTGAAAAAAAAAAAAAAACAACAGTTCAATGACAGAATTAACTGATAACAAAAGTCAGTAAGGGCTTTCTGATTGGCACTTGTAATCTTTTAATGTGAAAGTAATTAAAAACAACCCCTAAAAAAAAGAATGTATAAGCAAAACTTTATATGCATTTATGTAATTGTAATTGTTTGATCATTTATGTGATTGTAGCAACAGATTTTTTTGGTATGGGAATGGTTTTATAATAAAACCTAGTGCATGTAAAACCTGATAGACTAAAGAAATATTTCAACACAAATACAGATCGCATAGCAACAGCTACAAAATTAATCTCCACACCAAAACATGAATCCATTGAACAAATCATATTTCATTCATCTTCCCCTTTAAAAACACGTAAAGCTGATTTATTTGGGAGTTGGGCTGAAAATTTGATAGAATGTGTTGTCATCGACAACGAGTCTATGTGCCAAGTTTCAGCTCTATAGGATAACGGGAATTGGGTCACTTAGCCCTACAAAGATTTTTCCACAAACACACTAACAAAAGCGAAGTTAATATAAAGGATTTAAAAACATTAAAAGAAACAGATAGCATAAAAAATATTTATAAGTTACAACACAGAAAAGAATTACAAATTAAATTATTATGTTGCCCATGAAAATTGATAAAATAGAGTAACTGGCATCAATCAATATTCCTTTCCGATAAAACACGTCTGGTCTTAGCCAATCTGTAATGAAAGTACCTAATATATTTCTATGACTCACTGAATCATTTTCCCCCTCTTATAATAGATTTATTATTTGTAACTTCATCTACTTTATTATTTGAAATAAAACAAAGCTGGACATTTTCTCAACAAATAATATAAGCTGATCTCACCTGCTTGTCACAGAAATTAACCAGGCAGTGCCACAAGCTAGTATTGAGGTACCAGTTAAGAAGGCCAGTAAATCAGACAACTAGTTTTAAATATCTGATTATTGGTTTGCCAAAAAGACAAAAACAAAATGATAAAGTTAAGATTACAAACTTTAAAAAATATCACAATAATCTAAGTCAGAGCTCCTCAACCTGTGTGCCAAACAAAATGCCCCCAAGAGGAGGAAAGTAAGAGAGTATATATAGGCATTTAAATTTGAAATCGCTATCATCACCCTCCCCAAAAAAGGTAACCTACAGCTATGCCAAAACTATCGCACCATTAGCCTAATAAGCCACCCAAGTAAGGTCATGCTAAAGGTCACATTGAACGGACTAAGACCATATGCCGACAGACTCATTGCTGAAGAACAGGCAGGCTTCAGACAAGGATGTGGTACTACTGAGCAGACCCTAAACCTCCGAATACTATGGGAGAAATATGCTCAACCCCAACAAAACCTATAACAGGTCTTTGTGGATTTCAAGGAGACATTTGACAGGATTTGGCATGCTGCTTTATGGGCCACCAGGAGGCACTACAACATCAACACAAACCTAACCAGAATGATTTGCAGCCTCTATGATAAGGCCACCAGTGCAGTCTTCTTCAACTATAATATCGGAGAATGGCTGCTTGCTCTCCCCCACCCTGTTCAACATTTTCTTAGAGAGAATTATGTCAGATGCTCTGGAAGCTCATGAAGGGACAGTCAGCATTGTATAGCAGAACAATCACCAACCTACGCTTTGCGGATCACATAGATGGACTGGCTGGGAACGAAGAAGAGCTAGCCAACCTAGTAAAGCGTCTCGACAAGACTTCATCATCTTTTGGCATGCCACTTAGTGCAGAAAAGACAAAATTGATGACATATAACACCACCGGCATCACCACTGAAATTAAGGTCGGGAAGGAAAGATTAGAGACAGTATGCAGCTTCAAGTACCTAGGAGCAATAGTCTCGGAAGAAGGCTCCAAGCCCAAATTGATGTCCAGGATTGCTCAGACCACAACATCACTAAAGAGGCTCAAGAAAATATGGAACGACAAAAGTATAGCCCCCCAGCACCAAATCAGGCTGGTGCGCTCATTAGTCCTCTCCACTTTCTGGTATGCCTGCGAGTCCTGGACATTAACAGCATAACTTGAAAGGAAAATAAAGGAGATGGAGATGAGATGTTTCAGAAGCATTCCTGGCATCTGCTATAGAGACCATATCTCCAATGATCAATTGAAAGAAAGGATTCGTCAGGCAATTGGGCTGTACAATGACCTCCTGGTGACTGTAAAAAAGCACAAACTGGAATGGTATGGCCATGTGACAAGAAAACAAGGAATCATGCAGGGCACAATGAGAGGAGGGAGAAGAGGAGGAAGACAGAGAAAAAGATGGGAAGATAACATCAAAGAGTGGACGGGACTAAAACTAGGTAATGCTGTGCACAGTGCAGAAGACAGAGACGAATGGAGGAGGATAGTTTACATGTCATCTGTGGCACCCCAACGGTCCAAGGACTAAGAGACATGATGATGATGAAATTTGAAAAGAGGAAAAGGTTAGCCTATTCTCAAGCTGTCCAACTCTGTGATAACAGAAATGTGTCAGATAAAGACAGAGATATAGAGCAATACAGTGTAATCTTACACCTTTTAGTATTAAATGCCATTAATGTTAACTACATCTTGTTATTTAGTATTTGTAATTTTTTTTTTTACTTATATGATAGTGAGCGTGACGCTTAACTCTTGGAAAGGCCTAGGGTGTACCTCCCATGAAAAAAGGTTGCTAACTCTGGTCTATGTTAAACAATATGAAGTGTCTACACGTCCGGCGCGCCGGACGTGTAGTGCGCAAGATACACGTCCGGCGACTTGTCACGTGACCGCCGGACATGGCCGGACGGCTAGTAGTTTTTATAATTCCAAACGAAATACGATTTAGTACATCTTGTCTGGTCTTGTGGTAGAGTGGTTGCTTGACGATAGGAATGTTTGAGGATCTATACCGGGGATAGGGTCGTTTTTTTTCTTCCCATTTTAATTAAAATATTTTGTATATATTTATATTATCATGTTCCTCAGCAACAGTAGTTTCATGAGAAGTTTTTAAATATTTTGTAGCAATTGAAATAATTTAAAATGAAATCATTTTATGGATTACTGGTACACAAAAAATAACAAACTAAACAAAAATGTTTACAAGCCACTTTCACTTAAGTTTCTTTTTCTATTATTTGCATTCAAGATACTCAGTACATTACTTGGTAGAGAAATAGATTTTAAAATTAACAATAGTTGTGAATTATTCGCAGTCACGTGACAAGGCTGACCGACACGATATCTCTCGCCACTTTGTTACGGCGGTCATGTGACTTGGTCGCCGGACACATAGTGCGGGAGATAGACGCCCGGCGCGCCGGACGTGTAGACACTGCCTAAACAATAAGGCAGATATTCTCTGATTATGTTGGTTTCAATACCTCTAGACCTATAAGCAATGTTCCCTTTAAGCTGCGCGGCCGCGCATTAATCTCACAGACGCCGCGCAGCAGTTTTGGGTACCGCGCAGCTAATTTCCACTTAAGTATGTGTTTATGTCTGTAGGCTGAAAATTTGGCGCCCAAAAAAATTGATGCTGTAAAAAGTTGCACACAACTTTATGATTTTGCACACGAACCAACAAACCTTAGAGGGAACATTGCCTATAAGTATAAGTTGCAAAATAGTTTTAATTCTAATTGACAATAAATTAGCCTACTCATTTTCTATTTAAAAAAAAAACCATACTACTAAGTACTACCCTAATTAAGTATGTAGACTATTGATTTTAAAGAGATTTTTTTTACCCCAACCCTCTTAGCCGCCAGTGGCAGAACTATCAATAGTGTTACATTGGGAATCAAGAAACAAAAAATGACTGGAAATTAACCAGGCTATCTCAGTATATCTCTATTCCAATAAAAATAATTGGATCAAATAGTATTAAAAGATCAGCCTTACTAATAGTATTGGTCTACTAAACTAAGTACTAAATAATAAATTCAATAATATATGCATTACGGTACTTTTGGTAAAAATACTTGGATGAGGTAGTCTGTTAAAAGTGTGTGTAAATTATTTCATGATATTTTTTTAAATTTTGAGGTATTTTAGACCCCATACTGGCCATATGATTTATTTTATTTCTATTAAAGTTAAAGTACTAAAGTTGTAGGAGGCAGTCATTCAAAAACAAAGTCTAAGTCAAATGATTCTTGCAGCTTATGCTTAATTACTACCAATATTTTCAGTTTGTGATTATGACTATTACTTAGTTTAGTATTACTAATAGAGTAATACCAGACCTGTTTACCCTCTAACTCTTAAAATCGTACAATTACAATATCATAATAAAATTACCCATACATTATCTTAATAGTAAAAAAATAAACATACAGTATAGTATTTTTATACACCTCAAAATCATAAATTGTACGCCAAAATCGTAAGAGTAAACAGGTTTGTAATAATAATACCAGTATTAGTATTAGCTCAGTCTCAGTATTTTTGAGGAGTCACACTTTTGAGAGGGTTTTTAAAATACTTTAAACTTTAATAATAATAATACTTAAAAAAAATAAAAAATATCCCTTTCAATATTGATGATCCATGATAAAATAAAATATATTTATTGTCCTTAAAATAGCCCTATTTCAATTTATAATGACTACAAGCCTGTCATTTGCAAATAAATATACAAATCTTTAACAGTTTGCAAACCAAGTACAAGGAAGATGGTGTTCCATACTTTTAATTATCACATTTCATATGCCAGTTATGAAAAAGGTGTTCTAAATTACAGTCAAATCGGTTAAATTAAATGCACTGCATCTTAAAATAGCGTTTAGATACATACAGATTAAGTTACGTTGTAATATACTCAAATTTTCGGCCTAATTTTTCTAGATCTGATAGATGGTGTACCATACTTTTTCAGTCGTTTTTATCATGGATTCATAAGTACAAAGACAGCTACCTTATAAAAAGTTATCCCTTAAAATAATATGGTTAACTGCTCCAATCAAATTTTTGTGAAAACTTTGTGTTTCAATTAATATAAAATTCTAATACACTTAATTAAGAATAGATTATTAGAATGGATGGTAAATTGAAAATTTAGTGGTGAAAAAAAAATGCGGGACCGTGGTCATTCCGATATCACTCTCAACAAGACTAGTTTGACTTGCATGGCGAGCTCACTGCAGCAATGATTACAGGTTAACAAACACATAGTATAAAGTATACTATATTTAAAAGTGAATAAATATCTTACCATCATAGTAGTAGCAAACTTTTCTTTTTGGTGGCAGCGAAGCCATGCTTTAAAAATTGATTATCGAACCTTTCAAATTATTTCTGAAATAGTCTCTGAGTTGTGACGCGGTGATTGAACCAGCGCCACCTCTAGGGAAAACACCACCACATATTTACTTCCCTTGCTCGTTATTATATTGTCTTTACGCATGCGTATACTATGTTAGACACATCAAGCTAAAAAAAATTATTCCAAAGGGGATTTTAAAATATTATATATTAAAGATTTCAAACTTTGTTAATTCCGATGAATTTGCGTAATTTAAAAAAAAAAGAAATGTTGTTGGGGGGGGGGATGAAACAAAAATCTTTAAATTATTGAAATAGGAATAAAATAAATCAATTAAAATTAATCAGATGACAAAAATATCAATATTCAATTAAGTTGAAATAAGAAACACTTTTTTCTGCATATTAAATAGGTCTGTAAAAGTTAGACTTATAATTATATATGATTATAATATATTATTAATTATGCATCACATACTACTTTGTAATTGTCAATTATTGAATGAATCGTGAAAGCTCAAAATTCTTTAATTTTTAAAAACATAAAAATGGTTGGAATTTGAAGATATTTGAACTGTCCTGAGTTTTGTATTAATTATTAAAAGAACGGTTTCTGATTGTCTTTCATTTTCATCAAATATTAATCCAATTTCTCACGTCACGTGAGTGGTGTTAGGGTATTATCGTTTTTATGATACCCCAACGTAACACCACTAATATGAGAAATTGGATAAATATTTAAATAGCGTTTGAGAGAGAGTGAGAGTGAGAGTTGTGTGGCAGTGTGGCTTGGGCGATTGCTTTTTTTTCCTTAAAAAATATGGCCCAGAATCTGGGAACCAAGTCCAAGCCTAGCCTAGGCTAAACCTAATTCCACACATTCTGACATATCATATCATGAATCATAAAATATATATATATTTTTGGTAATACTTTGCTAAGGCTTCATGTAATCTAATCTTAGGGAATAATCTTTAGCTCATATAAGGTTTATTTTATATAATATAAACGTTAAGCCGTGCTCACTGTCGTGTCCTCGGTAGTATAGTGGTAAGTATCCCCGCCTGTCACGCGGGAGACCGGGGTTCGATTCCCCGCCGGGGAGGCCAATTTTTTTTTTGTGTGGGTAGAAATAATGGTTGTTTAATAATGTATTCTTTTGCAGGGTATTTTATATACAACAATGAAAATTTGCACGCTTATAGATACAATTAAATAAATATGTTATGTGACGTATTGAGTTGGGCAGTTACTTGGAAATGGAGGTTTGGGGGTGGGGTGATGGGTAAATGCTCCGTAGTTTAAAGTTGTATTTCACAAAATGGTCAACTAGGACCAGTGCCAGTGCGCGAGCTTCAAGTTGCCACTTCGCACAACATTACCATATATGGTTAATAAAAGAAGGGAAAAAATATGGTACCGGTCCCCGGTGCAATTTCGAAAGTTGTCCACTGAACCCAGAGCCATATCGTGGGCCCTGCAACGCATGCAGGGTCAGGGGGACCACGTATATTAAATACTCTTTCAAATATAAAAACATAAGGCCAGGCATATATTTTAAAAGTCAATGGTTGATGTGCCTGTGTTTTTATAAAAGTAGGCCTATAATTTTAATAATAATGTTACCCTTTATAGATTTCCAATTTGAAATTACCAGACTACGAGTCTACTTGTGTGTTTGGGAAAAGGAGTGGGGGCACAATGTTTGGATCTGAAATTGAACATACAATATCCAAATAATGGTCTAGTAGCAAATCTAAATTAAATAGAAGTCCTTTTTTTATATTTTAAATAAATAAGTTTGTGATTGAGATGTGTGCGAAGCCTAAAAGTAGAATTGACACCCCATAACATATATATATAGAACAGTGGTTCTCAACCTTCCTAATGCCGCGACCCCTTAATACAGTTCCTCATGTTGTGGCGACCCATAACCACAAAATTATTTTCGTTGCTTGTTATAGAGAGCTTGTTTACATCATATTTCTCGTGCGTGCCCTCTGATTGACCCCGCATGAGACGCTGTGTTCACAAAGGGGTGTGGCTTATGTCTTTGATGTATTCTTGTTTACGCCGCCAACGAATAAAAATAATTAATCTGTTCCAAATAGTATTTGGTAGAATGATTGGGATTTTTCTCGAAATATCATGTAGCTTGTAGAAGGCAGGGCTTAGGCGTCGGTAGACCCACCTATATAAGGGATTGACAGGCACGACGAGAGAGGGGGGAGATTTTCATATAGATTCTCTTAACATTATGAGGCGTGTTTTATTCTTTGTGTATTTATGTGCTCCTACTTATATGTGTTTATTTCGTATTATTTATTGGCATCATTATTTCTAATTGTATTAACTGTGTACCGGTACGACATCTGCCATACTGTAAGTTGAAGATTGTAATTTTATTTTATTTTATTTTGTAATTATCTTAAGACATAATAAATCTTAATTAATTGTAACTAGAAACTGTTTTGGGTCGTAATGTTTTGGGTCGTATCTTTAATATTGTTGATTATATGGTATCGTCCTTTGTTAGGCACTGTTTACAACGAGCCAATTAAAATTAAAATAGGAGATTAATTTCTCCCAATACAAGTCAGTGCGTAACATTGCTACATAACTGTAGAGTATATTTTTTTCCGATGGTCTTAGGCGACCCCTGGGACAGGAAGTTCGATCCCAATAGGGGTCACGACCCACAGGTTGAGAACCTGTGATATAGAAAAAGCGCCACCTAAGATGGACTACTGAAAAGACCATTTTCGCTCCCTTTGTGTTTACAATGGATTTTAAACTTTATTTTAGAATTAAAGTTCAATCTAAAGACTATTTTGGCACCCTCTGATGCTTGGCGCCCTGGACAAGTGCCCCTTCGTCCGTCTCCATTTTTCGCACGACCTTGGCTTTGTGTTCAAGCCTTTCGTTTTTAGTTCATGAACTGTACCGCTAGTACAGAAAAGCCTATCATTTCAAATGTCCAAACAGCATAGCAACGTCTGACCTGGAAACTGTATCTTCTAATTCACCGGTTAAACCAGTGGTTCTTAACCCTCCCAATGGCACGACCCTATGCGGTGCGGAAATAACCCAGGCAATATTTGACTTGAGTAGGACACTTGACTTAAGCTGTATTGTGTTTAAAGTGAGGGAGGGTTGCTCTGTTAGTCAGCCTCACCCTCTTTTGACTTAGTCAAGACGGCTGGAAATGACCAGGAAGCAGTAGGTGCACCGCAGTGTCTCTTTTAGTGTTTCACTGTGCCCTTTACGTGGTCCCCGTCGCAGGAGCTGTCTGAATTTTCATTGTCAATGTCATACCGCCTACGGGACGCCATCTCCGGGTTTGATTTCAGAGTTGGCCTTCTCTTAGATAGGACGCGATGCTTTCGCTTTAACTGGGATTTGAACTCCAGTCAACAAGCTTGGGATTGACTCAGTTTAGCCCGCTACTGTACGCCACCCATCTTCTGCGCACGTACAAATGAGCTTCCCACCCACAACTGTCAACAAAATATAATTAAATCAATTTAATTATAGGCAATCGTATTTATAATGTGTCCCAGCTTTTCTCCTCTGTCTGTTGTGTGTAGCAGTGTAGTCCCCGGGGGGGGGGGGGAGGATTTTCTTCAAACTTTAGAGCCCCTATTTCATTATATTCATTACATGACAGTTCTTTAAATGACAGTTCATTACATCAAAGTTAATTACATCACATTCCATTATTGATTGATGCAAGCGGAGGTCAATTATTTGGCGTAAGATAGGTAATAAAGAACTTGTGGGAACTGTACTAGTGGGGGTTGAAACCAGAGTAGCCAATCGTACAATAATTTGCGGACAGTCGGTCAATATTCGACATGTCCGTAAAAAAAAAAAAAGAAGAAGAAATTGTTCCTAAGTCTTTTTAAATGTATTCGTAAAAAAAAAGAAAAAGTGTTTGTCCGTAACAATTTGGAAGCTATAAAAAAACTCGCCTCATATTTTCATTTCTTGTTGGCAATCCTGGTTGACTCCTCCAAACGTTCAAATTTACTGCTAAATCTCTTCTCCAATGACGGCCCTTGGACTATGTCTCTATCAAGTACTAGAAGATATACCCGATGTTTCCCGGATAATAACGGAAAGCATAGCGCGCTATTATCCATCAGTAATTGTGAAGTCGTTTATGCTTGCAGGGCTGTGCGAATAAGTGTGTGTGGTTGGGGTGGGGGCATTCTCTCCGGGTGCGAACATCAGGGGTAGGTGCTAAAATGGTCTTTAGATCTGACCTTCATAGTGATTTAAATGGCCAAATGCATGCACTTCACAAAGACAAACTCGCCAAAATCTTATTTGTACTGGCTCACCCCGAGCTGTAAACATTCTACATAATGAGGGCGACATTTAAAGACTTCACCCCGGGCGCCGCTATTCCTCGGCACGGCCTTGCTGTCCAATTTCGACCCAGAAACCAAACATCTAAAACCAGCGGGACACTGGGGAAAATTCCGAAGGGACGATGACAATTGGACCGTCTGTGTCACTCTGTCGGAAATATCTGGGCCACTTCTACGTTTTAAACCTCTAATTACAGTGTATGCTTGATATTTAAAAGAAGTGTCAACGGTAAAGTTAATGAGCGACCATCATGTGGTAGAAAACAATGTTTGAAGTCAGGGGGGTCAACAACTCTCTTTGAGTAGGGCGCCGTTTTACTTACGTGGCGTCGCTCTGCAGACGACTCGATTTCATCTGTGCGTATTCTTCAGCCTTTTAAAAAAGATTGGAGCTGTTTTATGTTTTTTCAAATTCTTTGGGATCAAGGCGTGTTGAATTGTGCTTGGTCTGGTTTAACTGGTCATCTTGTGTTTTTAATGGCGAGGAACAGTGGTTACATGGATTGTTTCGGACATCGTTGGCATAAGCCAAGACATATTCAGATCCGCCATAGTGGATCCAAAGGATACGCTGCCTTGTAAACAAATGGCAAGATCTCAACAACCCTCCAAAGACAAATCGGCTACAGACAAAAGTAGTGCCCCTGATCTTAAAGGGAAACAACAAACGAGAACTCCCTTCAAACAAAAAGCCTCATAATTAAAATTCGCACTCAAGAACTCAACAGTTATTCTTACCGCACAATTAGTAGTATTATTTTTTTTGTACAGAATATTTAAGGAACAATAAAAAAAATTCAAGGAATGATTTTCAGGACTGAAAAAATGTGTACAATGAATGAAAAAAAGAACATTAAGGTGCATCAATACAAAGATATTTTCTTATAAAACATTTTGGGAGCCGCAAGATATCGAAACAACGCTCCGAAATTATGGAATAAAAAAAAAAAATATCACCAAGAGTTGCTTCTACTTCTGCAACATTATATTATAATCTTCTATGTTTTTTGTTGTGACTAATCGATTTATAACACTAAAATATATTCTTAATATTGTCCATTCATCCTTTTTTAATGACTGTATCATCGTAAGGTTATCTGTAATCTTGACTGAAAACAACACCCTCCCTAAGGACTATAAAAGTAGGACAGAGCCGCTTTAATTTTTGTCCGGGTTGCATTTAATTATAACCACACAAAAAAATTCTCGCAATATTGATAGTTTCAACCCTTCTGAACTATAAATAATAAAGATTTCATATTTTTGAAAGATTGTAAAAGACTCATGTTTTCTTATCTAACAAAAACAAAATATTAAAAATCCAGTTGCCAAGTTGGACTAAATATCTAGCTGTAAAAAAAAAAAATTAACATTACCAAATTTTGAGATATTGTCATCTTCATCCAGTTTTACCCACCCTCTTGCCCACGACAATATATCCGGAAAATCGCAACAAAAAAAAAAAACAAAAAAAAAAACCAAAAAACAACAACAGCAAAACACAGACTTCTGTTATCTGCATAGTAATCTATTGAACAACTTTCTCGCCTGTAACTGCTTTTGGTATTTCAATCTTTAAACCTACGTTGATTATTTCATTTAACACATGAAAAATAGTTACTATTTCAGCATCTAAAACACCAACAAGGATGAAATACGGTTAACTTTATACACTCTACGAGTGGCATATTAGTAATGTTAGAAGTAAACATGGGCGCCCGCAGAAAACTTTCTGAGGGGGGGGGGGCACATTTTTTTAGTAAGGTTTTAATGTAGTTTTAATTTACTGTAGCGTAATTGTATGGTGAACGAACGGACAGGACATCAGCTTAGTTACTTTCTCTTTATTTTCTCTTTACTTTAATACATTTTTTGTCTATTTTTGTCTAAAAATTTTTTATCCAATCAATCCAGTGGGGGGGGGATTTACTTTAATACATTTTTTGTTTATTTTTGTCTAAAAATTTTTTATCCAATCAATCCAGTGGGGGGGGGGGCAAGTGCCCCCATTGCCCCCCCCCCCTGTGGGCGCCCATGGAAGTATACCATTATATATCAAAATCTGGGTTGATAACAAAAATGCCCCCAAAGTTCACTAAGGATCTGTAACTGTAACTTATAAAATCCGTTCTGGCAGTTACTCAAATTGACCCCACTAGTAAGAATTTAATGAATATACAAATAACAATGAATGTACATTTAAAAAAAAACAACAACATTGTTTTATTTAAATAAGATATAAACATGTATTTATTTTACATGAAATTTGAAATTATATTTCATTGTAAAATAGTGCAATAATATGATAATATGGATTAAACGGTTAGGTTTCTATTTAACATGGCAACAACAATCACAGTCTTAAATTCAATTTATTTAAAAATATATTAAAAAATAATTAGACATTATTAATAAAATGAATGACTTAGTTAGTAATAGAGTCTAGTACTATTTTTTTTAGATAAAAAAAAATCAGTAGGCTTACTGTCAGTTGAACTTTAAAGCTAGTTAGAACACGAATTTAACATTATTTTATTGAGATAAATGGGGCAATTTCTTATATGCCGTGTTTGTCAGCAAATAATAACCCGGTCTAAACTTGTGCTCCAGACGAGCATGATAGGGTTTATTATCATGGGATGTCTTGTTGTGTTAAGTATAAAAAATTACATTTATTCGAGAACAAAAAATTTCTTTTATTCATCTACTTCAAAAATCAAGGGAAGCTTCGTGCCATTGGTATCCTTTAAGTAGACCAATGGCAACACAGCTGTCAGTGATTTCATTCGGTAATAAGAGTTTAGATTTCCATTTGCAAACCGGTAGCTGTCCGTCTGGGGCTTTTTTTTTTTTTTTGAGGGGCGGGGGGTGGGGGGGGGTCCCTCCCCGGCTTATTTTGGGGGGGGTTTTATTTTAAGAGCATCCGGAAAGAGCAATGATTTTGGGCTTATTTTCTGAGAAACACGGTAGACATTTTTTTATCTTTAGCAAATGAACAAAAACATTAAACATTTGATGTTCAAGAAGAATTTCAAGTAAAAACTGATCCACATATCTAACATCATCTTGCAACACGAGGGTTGCGGCTAATTTATTCTCTACCTATTTCCAATACTAATCACGTTTTTGTAGATGTAAAGATTGTCTCCCCTCCACCTGGTTATGTGCGTTTGTTGGTCGTCTTCCCTCCAACCAGCTGTCCAGGTAGTTGAAGAATGGCTGGTAGTGCCTCGTGCCGTGTACATGGTGAGCATAGTGTTTCGCCGGGCCACCCATCAGCCCCCAGGGCACCAGGCGATGGGGTCCCCAGGGCAGGTCGTACCCGGTGTGGTTGTCAACGAGGAGCCACAGAAACACCGGGACGTAGACGACGCGCGTGAGAGGGTGGCACCGGAACAGCTTCAGGGCATAGTTGGCGGAGGCAATGAGCAGAAGGCGCTCCACGACGGACAGCTGGTTGGTCACGTGGGCGTGCATCAGAGTGTGCTGGTGGTGCACCGCGTGGAAGTGCTTGAACAGAAACAGATTCTTGTGCAGCAGCAAGTGCACGCCAAAGAAAAGGAAGTCAAAGACAAAAACGCTGGCCGCAACCTGCGCGCAGAGAAGAAGGAATGGCGGCGCGTCCCCTGGCAACGCCCTCGTGGTCTGGATCCATTGGTGACGTCTAGTCTCCCACTCGGACTCATGGACGTCCCAGTACCTTTTGACGATCACCGCGTCTGCTGCCAACAGAGGCGCGACGTACTTGACCGCTTCCAGCACTATACCAGGGGTGGTCTGGTGGATGTAGGTGACGTCACCAGTCACTTTGAACCGCTGCAGAAATGGCATGTAGTGGGCGGCATACGGATAGGCGGCAATGATGAGGCCGTAAACGGCAGTGACGTAGATGGTCTCAAAGTAGGCTGACCGGAAGACGGAATCGTGTCTTAACCACGCCCACAGCGTATCTACGTGAGCTTGGATACAGTTTCTGGAGTAAATGCTCAAGACGATGACAGCTAGTGCCACCGCTCTTGAAACCTGGGTTACAAAATAGTAACTGTCAGTTACACTCGAGGCAGTATCACCAATGTGTACGTCGTTGGTGGTCTTAGCATCTGTCTGGTCACAGCACGGGTCTGGTGTCTGTCTTGTTGTGGAGTGACTCACGTTTGAGATGGAAGTCCCTCCTGCCGGTGATGATTCCGGAGGCATCTTCTGGGCAGTTTACAACTCGGCCCTGACGATGAAATAAAACAATATATTTACATTTTAAAAGCAAAATAAGTTGGTTCAATCTAACCAGATCTACTTTATAAGCTGTTTGGTTTCTTTGCTTTTGTTTTAAATTGTCAACGCTATGCACCCTGTGTTAGGGATACATACTAGGTGTTAGTATTCATCCGCTTCCCACTGGTTTTGCTAAACCGGTTGTAAAAAAAGAATGCATTTTGAGCGAACAACCTGTTAAATATTGTACCCTGAAATAGTTTACATAAATCCTTATTCAATCCCGTATATATGCTAAACTTGCAAACAACACTTCCTCGTTATGACATATTTATTTAACTCTACGATATTTGGGACACAAAACATAAGAATCGTCTGCCGACTACGGTAAATCATGGGAGACAACCCCAAATGGTGTCACGGGACATATGGATCGCGGTGCGCATGCCATTTCTCCATTCCTATCAAATAAAATGGGCACCAAACAAACGATGTACATAATTATGTGTTTGTTATTAATGTACACAACTCTCAAATGTTAACTCTTCTACACGTACCATCTCACACACACATAATTTGTATAGATTTTAATTGAGATTTAACTCCTTTTAATGGATGTATCATAGATACAAATGTGCCAGTCACTTTGATCGGCGGAGGTGGAGTGGGGTAGAAGAAATCTAGGACACGGACTGAGGGACACCCCCCCCCCACCCACCCCGGAGTCGGCGAAAGAAAGCAGGAATGCATTTTGACGCATACCTGAATTTAGTTATTTAATTGAGATTTAACTCCTTTTAATGGATGTATCATAGATACAAATGTGCCAGTCACTTTGATCGGCGGAGGTGGAGTGGGGTAGAAGAAATCTAGGACACGGACTGAGGGACCCCCCCCCCCACCCACCCCGGAGTCGGCGAAAGAAAGCAGGAATGCATTTTGACGCATACCTGAATTTAGTTTTGAATGACTCTACACTTAATCGGAGATTAACAGAAAAAATTAAGAGGAAATGTAGATGGCATTTGACATGGTTGTAATTACTAAATAGTAATGTTTTATAATGTTTATTTAAGATTTGATAAATTAGTCCAACCAAGAGCCAGACAAGGCCTCGCTATCAATACAACAAAACAACAACATCAGAGATCCTGTACCAGCCAGCTCCATGACAAGCTGACAAAGAACCGTACGTATTAATGAAGGGACATAATCGCCAAGCAGTTGGAAAATTCACACAGCACACTCTCCATGTCAGTCAAAATAGAGGATGATATCAACAACCGAATTTCCAAAGCAAATGTAGCTTTCAGAACGCTACGCAAAGTGGGTCTGGGGGCGAAGTGGTCTCAGTCGTGTCTCTAAGCTCAAAGTATGTAAGGATTAACATATCTCCTATGCGCTAGCGAGACGTGGACAGTGTACGGCAGACATGATATATAGACAACTAATCCACCTCCACCATCACCACCCACGTAAACTTCTTGGCATAAGGTGGTAGGACAGAAGTCCTACAGCAGGCTGACTTAATCAGCATCTAACGTTCCTACAGATAGGACAAGCAATATGGGCAGGGCGTGTTGCGAGAATGTCAGACAGCCGACTTCCTAAACAACCAATGTTCGGTGAAATATCCAGAGGGAAACGCCCAGATGGTGGGCAGAATAAACGCTTTTAAGACTGTCTAAAAGCCTCATTAAAATCCATGGACATCGACATGAATTGGTGGGAAACACTTGCAATGGATCGTATAAGCTGGCGTGGCAGACTCACTATAGGAGCACAATTCTAAGAGAATAATGCACAGCTCAGACCCAAAGAAGGCGCGCAGCCAGGAAAAGCAGAATCGATTCCAATCCAACCGAAACACGCGTGTCGCACGTGCGAGAAAGCTTTCCAGGCACAATTGGGACTGGCAAGCCACCTGTGTGCTCACCGTTGAATAGAGCCATGGTCATTTACGCATGCGAAGGGGGAGACAACAACGCCTTTATCATTTATTGATGAAACGTTGCGGGCCGGGGGGGGGGGTGGGGGCATTTTCAGGCTTTGCCCCCGGCTTCGCTTTTCTCTGGCACGGCGCTGGCCCTGATTAACCGCTGGGTTCTTGTTCACAACACACCTGGACATGCTAGACACAGCTGAACATGCTAGACACAGCTGAACATGCTAGACACAGCTGGAGATGCTAGACACAGCCGGACATGCCGATCAAGTCATTCTTATCAATACGGACTAAATGGAAACTTGTCCGTGTGACTTCCCTCCCTCCTCTGATACTCCCCCCCNACAGCTGAACATGAGAGACACAGCTGGAGATGCTAGACACAGCTGGACATGCCGATCAAGTCATTCTTATCAATACGGACTAAATGGAAACTTGTCCGTGTGCCTTCCCTCCCTCCTCTGATACTCCCCCCCTCCCCCCCCCCCTGTTACCATGATGAGCAGCTGTGTCGATAATTCCACAAGTTAAAGTTAAACATGAACACTCACCGAAGGCGAAAGTAACCGATCACGGCTTTAATAACGAGCAACACAGCGTGTAGTGCAGGTTGTACACAGCGTGTAGTGCAGGTTGTACACAGCGTGTAGTGCAGGTTGTACACAACGTGAGGCGCAGGTTGTACACAGCGTGTAGTGCAGGTTGTAATTGTAGTGTGACAGTGCGTACCCGGATTTTTTACCACAGCAGTCCGTACGAGTACACGAGCCCGTATGAACCTAAACAAACAGTTTAAAGCGAATAGGTGTGGCTGCACTCAAACAGATCCCGACAGCTGAACACAGTTCACAACACCAACTACACGTGTGTGCAGACATCCTAGCGTGACGCCCAATACACGTGTGTACCGGTAGAACCACCTAAATATAAATAAGCACATTCAACAATCATCTGATGCCGTGTGCTTGCTGCGCGCAGCTCTCTGGCACTGAGTCTTGCCCAGCGTTGCCGTTCATGTTATCGACTCAGTGCAACCATCGATCTGAAGTGTGTGGATAAATGTCACGGCGGAGTGGTGCCGACAGCCTGAATGGTTCATAAGTCTTACAGATACGCTCCGGCTTATACTTATGGCTTGTTGAAAAAATTAAATTACAGATGCATGTATAATGTATTTACCTTTTTTATATTTTTCCGCGCTGAGGTTGATAGCTGCAAATTATTTACATTTTAGTATTGTTATGTTTATCAATTTTAAACGAAGGCGACCGTATGTTAAACAAAACTCGCCATTTTAAGTCAAAGAAAGCTTGTGATTTCAAATAATGTAACATTTTGGTGGAATAAAAGAACTATTTGCTCCAATCACTAGCGTACAAGTCAAACAGGAACTGAAATATCTCACAGAAACAATAAATCACTCCACTTCCCGTTTTATGGCGCGCATTGCAAACAAGAAAACCTGTTTTTGTTTGTTTGTTTATTGCTACGTGTTCATCAGTATGTCCGTACTGTAAGCAACTAATGTGTGCATGACAAGAATACGAGTATCGTATTAATACTAACGGCATGAGGAAGCGGGCGGCTTTTGCCGACGCAGCCAGTTGCAGCAGTAGAGAAACATTCCAACAAGAAGATCACACGCTGATAAAAATAAGTTGTAGATTGCACCCTTTAGGCCCAGCCCTGCACCCATTAGTAGTGTAGCTAGCCTATAGGCCTACCTTTTGGGTTTAACTGCACACACAAAAAAAACAACAAAAAACAAAACGGATGATTTTTCAATACTTTGATACAACCAGGAACTCGACTAAAAAGTACTTGAAGTTGAAGTCACGCTTTTGCATTTCAGCCCCTTTAAATAAATATGAAGAGTTGATGAGAGGCACGCCGAGTGCGCTGCGTGTTATGTCACCGTCTCAGAACACTTGTACTGTGTAACACAGTAACACACTAACACGGACACACACGACATTGGCGGGTGAGCTTGGCTGTATAAAAGGCAATCTTAAGATCTCAACACAGACACAGGGTTTCTTTCAACTATACCCCTTTCCCCCCCACCCCCCACCCCCCACGCCCCGGGAAAGCCAAGTGTCCCTCCGGAGCAAAAATATGCCCAACAATAAATCAACTGGCACACGACCGTGACGGGGGGGTGGAGGGCTTTTTATACAGCCCCCCGGGGGGGGGGGGAATTTCTGAAATAATCACTGCAACACACGCCTTCGGGTGTAAGGAACACACACAATTTATGAAGTCCGTCCGTCATCATTAGCTGCCATACACACTGTAATGTTGTCCTGTATGGTTTTAACGAAATCGAGATAAAACTGTTTAGCATAATATTATTATTTATAGAATAGGCCTGTAGGCATGCGGCATAGGCATAGGATGCTTCATGCTGCCTTACCATAGCCGGGCCCTTGTCACTAGCCTTTCGAGTGTTCAAAGACGGGCGAAATGTGTTCAATTGAGAAGACGTTTTGGGGGGTTAAATATAGATGAGTAGGGTGTTAAATATAGATGAGTAGGGTGTTAAATATAGATGTGTTGGGTGTTAAATATTGACGCTTTGGGTGTTAAATATAGATGTGTTGGGTTTTGAACAGTCCACATTTCGGGTTTTAAGCATTATCATTATCATGTCGGTGTTAAATGTGGGTATCTTGGTATTAAAATAAAAATGTGTTGGTCGGTGTTTAAACACAGACATTTCCAGGTGTCTAATGCATGCGTAAAAATAGGGCTAAATGTCTACATTTCAGAAAACCTGACCTAGTTATTCTCGTTTTGACTGTTATTTTTCTACAAAGACATCAACGGTTTAACATGTTTGATGCCGCAACACGCTCCCTCGAGTCTCCTTAACAGCCAGAGGTGGAGCCAGGGTCCTGTAGATTACTAATATCCTTACATACAGTGGGGGAGCCAGGGTTGTATAGTGTCATTACTGCCATAGGCGGAACCAGGGTCGTTGGGTTACCTTACAGCCAGAGGTGGAGCCAGGGTCCTGTAGATTCCTAATATCCTTACATACAGTGGAGGAGCCAGGGTTGTATAGTGT